TTTGTTTACAAGCTCTGAAAATCCACGGAAGGTTCAGCCGGGAATCCTTCGTGCTCTGAGTTTTGAGTAAAGCCGTCATTGACTTGATTTTGAACTAGCTTTGCCAGATACACTAGGAGTCCGACTTCGTTGGAAGATGATGGGAGCAGACTGACAGAGCACTGTTGTTCATTCATCCATGTGAAAGGCTGGCACCTAGAGTGTGGATTAATGGCTTTGAGAGACCTAGGTTGAAATCTCGGCCTCTAGCACTCCACAGGAGAAAGATAGACCGTCTCCTGCATCATAGCCAATTGCATAGACTGTGACTAACTGGAGGGTCAGCTGAGGGTCGATTCCGACTCCACAGCGCACAGTAACACCAACAACAGCCCTGTGCCTGTGACCATGATGGTGAATAGCCAGTTCTTAGACTCAGAATCATGCAAAGTGTCTTGATGATACATCTAGTTACACATATTAAAGCAGCAAAACCATACGCCCATGGAATCAGCAGTCCAGAAATGAGCTGGCATATTGCACTGGACAGCCCTGCTGCGGAAAACTCTTTAAAAGGTTAAAGACGGAGCTGTTGTCTTGTAGACTAAGGTGCACCAGCCTAAGCCAGGGTGTTTTCACTTGTCTTCCCGATTAAAACAAGTTTGGAAGCAGGAGTGGCATCCACTTCCGAAATGGCTTGCTGCCGGAAACTCTATGAACAGTGCTCGGGCCTTTCATTCATAGGGTCGCTAGGAGTTGTCTGCGACTCAACTGCACCAAAAACAAAAACAATGACAGCATAGAGCTACGTTGCCGCAATGAACAGAAAGTTATGCTTCCAAGCCCAAGGTGGGTGATTTTTATCTGTGGCCCAGAAAGTTATGCTTCCAAGCCCAAGGTGGGTGATTTTTATCTGTGGCCCTCAGGCCTGCCTGATTCAAATTGCTTTTTTGTCAAATATTCTTCTGCGTGGTATAGCCCTGGTCTGTGCATTGCTGTACAGAGATAACTCATGGTTGCTGTGATGCTAAACACAGTGACACTGATGTGCCAGATGTGATAATGGTCACCCAGGGTGGACAGTGTTTGGTGGAGCTCCCAGATTAAAGCAAGCTTGGAAACAGGAGTGGCATCCACTTCCGAAATGGCTTGCCTCAGAAACTCCTTTTGTTCATAGGGTCACTATGAGTGGTCTATGACTCGATGGCACCTAACAACAACAACTATACGTGCATGCCAAAGTTGAGTCAGGAAGACCTCCGCATTGACACTTTGAGTTGTGCTGTTAAAGGTTGTGACTTCCCTGGGGACTGCCAGAGGAACACGCTGTCTTGGGGAGAATTCTGGCTGGAATGTTCCCCAGAGCCGAGGATGGCCAAGGAGAGTCCTCTAACATTCTTTGGGAAGTTCTCAGGAGAGGTCAGTCCCTGGAGAAGGGCACTGTAGTCTGCTAGAGGGTCAGTGAAAAAGAAGACGGCTTTGGCAAGATGGATTGGCACAGTGGTCCCTACCGTGGGTGGTTCAGGACCTGGCAGTGTTTCAATCTCTTGTGCAGAAGGTTGCTCTGAGTCAAAAGCAACGTGTTGGCCTTGAGAACAAGAGCATACGTATATCCTTCCTCCCACCTTGCATTCTTTCCTTTAATAAACAGCCAGTTCAGGCTAGGCTTTCATCTGTACAGTGACATTTTGACAATACCGATGAGGACGTGATTGCTGTGTGTCTCAGTTCTAATTCTTGGTCGTGTTTGACTTTGCACTGGCCCCTGAAGTGGAGATAGCCAGAGCCTCCCTCTGCTGAATGAGTGGACAGACCGCGGGAGTGCTTGGTACCCTTTTGAGTCCCTCGGCTGCCAGGTGACGGAGGCGGCATTTGAACGTTAGCCCGAATTCCTAACATCTTTCTCGCTGCTTCTCCATGAGACTCTTGAAAACTGGGTGATGCCTTCATTGCTGACTAAATCGTGTGATCACTTGCTTTGCATAAAATAGAAATGAACCCTTACCTGTTGGCACAGTTTGGGCTATTTCAGCTGTATTTGTTGGGATGTGTATTAATATTTTAAACCCGATAACGGATTTCATGGTGTGTGAATACAACTCAGAGGAAGAATACTAGCTGATTCTCTAAACCGTACGGACTCCTCCAGGACGGCTTCTTCCAGGAAGAAGGATCAGTGCTTGGAAAATACTGAAAGGGATTTGGGCAGTTCTGCCCCAAACATCATCAGCACAGCGTGGCCACAGGGGTCTCGGGGGGACTGACTTCGCCGTCTCTCTGGGGTTCTTTGACCTCCTCCTTTGACGGGGGCAGTCTTACTGCTTCTCCATAGCCCCCCGTTAGTGGGAAGTTGCCGGGTTTTCCTTCTTGGACAGATTCCCCACCTTCTATAGTTTCCAGCTTTTGCAGTTTTTTTCCACCTTTGAGGACAACCTAATAATGGTCGAATGACTAATTATTACGATGCCAAGACTGAAGTGTAGAAGAATCTTTTTCTGGGGCAGTTGGGTGTGGCAGGAACAGACTTGCCAGCTTTCAAACGTATCATTTACTCACTATTTTTAGCATTAGACTTGACACTTTCCTCTCCCTCTCTGACTTTCTTGTTAAAAAAGCAACCAGGAAACCATAACCTTTCTGGGCTCAGTAAGTAAGTATAGTTCTATTAGCAAGAAAAAGCACACATTTGCATTGCATTTGTATCTGTATCTGAGAATAGACATTTTCTCCTTTAATTTTGGTGTTGATATTTCTCCTTTTAATGAGAAAAGTTGTAAAGATCTCTGCAGAAGTGTGGGGCTTTTCTTTTAATGTCTTTTTAGGGTTTTGTCCATGGATATTAAAGGGAGTGAAAGGTCTGTTTACATAGAAATTGGCTTTTTTACTTTTATGCCTTGATCCCTATTGTAATAAAGGCATTTCTGGTAACAGTGACCGGCATTTAGGGATGTAGAAAGAAAGGAAGGAAAGCAGCTTCATACTGCATCTGTGCGAAGGAGTGGGTCCTGAGAACTTGGAGGCTGGCTGGGATTCCCCAGAAAAGCCACGCTGGGGCAGATGGTTAAATGCTACAAATCCTTCAGAACAGACTGTCTTCCAGAATTGAGGATTAGCCCGAGAGTTTGGTGTGAAAGGCCAGAGTCTGCTGCCTTGTCGACAACATGATCAGACACAGAAGTCTCCCCAGAGGTGCTGTGGGCTCAGTGGTTCCAGGCCACCTTGGAAAAGGGGATACAGAAATAAAGTGAGCCCTGAAAATTTGGGTGTCTCACCATGCAGATACCAGTTATGTCTGCACTAAACTGTAGTCTACTAAGGCACTTGGTGATGTAATGCATTACGGGTTGAGCAGCTGCCTGAAAGGTCGATGGTTCAAATCCACCAGAATCTTCACCAGAAGGTGAAGATTTGAGGCCGGCTTTTTCTCAAGGATTGTGGCCTTGGGACCCAAGTGGAGGGCGACAGGGGTCAGCACTGACTTGAGACCGGCATGTTTGTGAGGTTGGGCTTTTTGTTTGTATATTGTTCACAGCTTCATTTTGCTCGGCTCCACGGTCAACACTCTTGGCACCAGCAGCCAGGAAATAAAAAAATGTATTGCGATGGGAAGGTCTGCTGTTAGGGACCTCTCTAAAGTACTCAAGAGCAACGGTGTCTCTCTGGAGACTAAGGTGCGCCTGATACAGGCTATGGTCTTTGCAATCACTTGTTATGCATCAGAGAGTTGGACAATGACTAGGGAGGATAGAAGGAGAATTGATGCCTTTGAGCTGTGGTGCTGGAGAAGAGTATTGAAAGTACCATGGACTGCCAAGAAAACAAACAGATTCACCCTAGAGAGGGTTAAACCAAGCTACTCCTTGGAGGCAAAGATTCTGGGGCTTCGTCTGACATACATTGGGCATGTTGCAAGGAGGGACAGGTCCTTGGAGAGGGACATCATGCTTCGAAGGTTGGAGGGACGGCGCAGGAGGGGAAGACACTCTATGAGGTGGATTGATTCAGTGACTGGGGTAATCGGGATGGGTGTGTCAGAGGCAATGCGATTGGGCACAGGACAGAGCAGGGTTTAGGGCTGTTGTACATAAGGTCGCTATGAGTCGCAAATGACTCGATGGCACATAACAACAAGAACAACAGTCTATTAGTTGTGCTGTTAGGACGCTCTGGTGGTGAGGTCCACAGGAGTTTCGCTGCTAAGCAATGACCGCCCATCTCCAGCAGTTCAAATCCACCAGCTGATCCTTGGGAGAAAGATGGGCAGCCTCTTACTGCATGATTTACAGGCTTGAAAGTCTGATGGAAGCTCGGCTATGAGTCAGTTCTGACTCGATGGCAATGCGTTAAGTGAGTAATAGTGTTATGAAAAGATTTGAAGTGTTGGAGGATGACGCTGAGACATTAAGTGAGCACACGCTCTTGGGAAAAATCGTACAAATGGAGTTGTTTGTGGCAAGATTGCCAGAACCTCCCATTGGTGAAAAACTTATTTTCTGCAAAGCTCCGTAACGTGAGGTACCATCAAGGGAGACATGTCTGTGTCTGTCCTGATTTCCTGCTGTCCGTCTGTCTCCTGCTGCCTGGACTCCTCCGCTCTGAGTGGGCAGGACTGAGATCTGCAGCAGTGTGTGCATTGACCATGGGGGTTGGGGGGAAGGTTTGGAATCAAAGGCTGTGAATGTGAGGAAGAGGATGCTGGGAACCAGCTGGTTTGAAGTCTTACACCCCAGGACCTGTCTTAAGTCGAGGTGATCAGTGTGCAGTGGCTCCCCAGGCTCATGTCAGGCTGTATGTAGTTGAGACAACTAGCTTCGGCTATTTTTCTGGCCTCCCCTGGGATGCAGCCCTGCAGGCATGATAGAGACAGAAGTGGGTGGGTGGGGAGGGCCCACTGAGACCGTGCAGCTCAGCTTGAGCCTTGCACCTTCTTCCTCCAAGCCTGCAGAGCTGGTCACATTTTCCCTCTGACACGGGAATAGGCTCTCTTTTCATTTGCGTTCCCTCTGCTGTTCCTTCCACAGATCCAGCAGTGGGAGCAGAACCTGGAGAAGTTCCACATGGACCTGTTCCGCATGCGCTGCTACCTCGCCAGCCTCCAGGGTGGGGAGCTGCCCAACCCCAAGAGTCTGCTGGCCGCCACCAGTCGCCCCTCCAAGCTGGCCCTGGGCAGGCTAGGCGTCTTGTCTGTGTCTTCCTTCCACGCGCTGGTAAGTCCTGAGGGTAACTCCTGGAGGCTGGGGTGCCCCTCTTTCCATGAGCTGCTGTCCTCTGGTGTGCAGTGAGCTGGCCTCATGAACACTGACCCTAGAGGACAGAGTAGAGAAATCCTGGAGGGTTTCCAGGCTCTAGTGCATGACCTGTTGGCCTGGTAACCATGGTTCAAATCCACCAGCCACCCCAAGACAGAAAGGTGCAGCTGTCACCTCCCTCAAAGATTTACAACCTTAATTCTGGATTCCTGTGATAATCATAATATACTATCATATATAACTTTTTAAACTGTTCTCGCCCTCATATGTTTCAATTCAGTATAGATAATCTATCCCGTTTTTCTCAGTCTTACCCCAACTGTGATGTCAGTCACGTTCTAAAACAGTGGCACTATGCAGTATTTGTCCTCTTGTGACTGAGATATTTCACTCAGCATAATGTCCTCCAGGGTCACCCATATTGAATAATATTGCATGAGTTCCTTGTTTTTTCAGTGCAGCGTAGTATTCCTTGTGTAAATACACCAGAGCTTCTCCATCCATTTGTTTGTTGATGGGCACTTAGGTTGTTTCCAACTCCTTGCTATTGTGACCAAAGCCGGGATGAACATTTCATGTGCATATATCTGCTTGGATGTCAGTTATGAATGAATGAAAATCCAAAATGAATAAAATTAAGTTTTTAAAAAAGCATGTTAAAAAGAAAAGAAGAAGATTTACAACCATGAAAGGTTACCACGACTTCGAGCCACTCCAAGGCAGTGGTCATGGTTTTGGTTTTTAATCTTTCACACTCAGATTCCCACATTTTCTCCCACAAAGAAGCTACTGGGTTCAAACCACCGACCTTTTAGTTAGCAGTTGAGTGCTTCAGCCTCTGCATCACAGCAGCTTCTGTTCTAACCACTAGTTAAGGAGCCCTTGGTGGCATGGTGGGTAAGGAGGTGTACTGCCAACTTGAAGACAGGTGGTTCAAATCCAGCAGCTGCTCTGAGGGAGAAGGACGGACAGACTCCTCTTGGGTGATTTAGAGTCAGTGAAAATCCTCTGGAGGGTCAGCTCTGAGTTGGTTCTGACTGTGGCAGTGAGTTCAGGTTAAAGGTAGAGTGTGCTGAGGTGGAGTCTTGACAACAGTGTGTTAGACGGCTCACCACGAGGCCTGTGGTTTAAGTCTCCCAGCTGCTCCACGCAGAAAGCTGTCTCCTGTAAAGACAGAAATAGCTTTACAGATGCCTTGGAAATGTGGTGACTGTGAGTCAGAATGGACTCGATGGCCGTGGTCTTGGTGGTTTGGGTAGCGCATAATTATTAACTGTTCACGTCTGTGTCTGTGTTCCTTTGTGGCCTGCTGTCTTCGGGAGTGTAGTCACTCAGGAGTGTTGTGCAGAGTTAAAACTGCCAGCTGTCACTGAGTCGACTTAACCCATGGTGACCCCAAGTGTGTAAGAGAAAATCAGCATGCTGTAGGGTTGTGAGTGTGTGATTTTCCTGTAAATAGATTGTTGGCCCTCTTTTGTGCCATCGTGGTGAATTTGAACCTGTGACTTTTGAGCAGGGGCTTTCATAGCCCTCTGGTGCTGCTGTAATAGAAAGACCACAGGTGGATGGCTTTAACAGACAGAAATCTGTCCTCTCACAGTGTAGGAGGTTAGAAGCCTGGATCCAGGGTGCCAGCTTTCTCTCTTTGTTGGCTCTGGGGAGAAGTCCTTGTCATCAGTCTTCCTATGAGTCTAGGAAGTTCCCAGCACAGGGACTCTGGGTCCAAGGACAAACTCTTTTCCTGGATCCAGGTCTCTGTTCTCTGCTCACTTATTGAACATGTCGCCGCACACTTTTTAAATTGACATCATTTGCGGCAACATGTTAAACCCTTTTATATCTCATGAGAGATTAGCATAAGATACAATTGAGTCCCATAGAACACATCTGGCCTCATAGAACGCATCTGGCCTCATTAACATAATTGCCTCTGATCATGCCTCTTGAACCACAGAGGTATAAATTCACAATATGTAGGATGATTACTTCGGTTCACAGAATTCAGAATAATCACAACATACTGAAGATCATGGCCCAACCAAGATGATGCATATTTTAGGGGAGTGTATTTATAAGTCACTAAGTACACTCACCAGCCAGGGACTCTGAAGAGTCACAGGGTGGCCATGGCTCCTGACCGTGTGGCCCCGAGCACCTCCCCGGCTTGGCTGACCCTATTCCACACCACAGAGAGGCCAGCTCGCGGTAGCTGGCTTTGTGTTGTCCAGATAAGAGCTATCTCCCCAGTGGACGCCTTCCTGAGATGTCAAACAGGCGGCAGCTTTTGGCGCTGGTCCCAGCACCTATATCTCGAACAGAGCTTCCTCCTGTTAGAACAACTGGTAATTCTCTCTGTCACCCACACCACCGGCCCCAAGGGTCTCTCACATTGTGTTTGGCATCATCAGATATGTTCTAGAGATGACTCCGCTCTCCGGAAGAGGACCCTCTCTCTGACCCAGCAAGGGAGAAACAAGAGGGGCATCTTCTCTTCACTGAAGGGGCTGGACACGCTGGCGAGGAAGGGAAAGGACAAGAGGCCTTCTGTAACACAGGTGAGTTTGTCCTCAAGGGAAGAGGAACCTCCCAGAACTCAGGCGAGTCCTTCCACATGGGGGGGACAATCAAGGCGTGTGCGTGTTTGAAATGGTTTGATTTTTCAGCCTGTTGCAAACTGTAACCGTTCACCTCCTTTTAAGAATGAGACAAACGCAGTTCCCCTCTCCATGGACCTATCCCTCATGAAGATGCATGCACAGCCCATTCTCTTTTTAACATCATCAGAAATACCTTTGCATCTTACTCAGATCTGTGGCACTGAGGGATAGAAACGTAACCACAACCAGAAAAGAATCCCCACCTTTCCCTGCCTCTGGTACTGATGAGCCTTTGTTTCCCTACAGTTGTTAGGTTAGGTACTGGGAGAAAATGACTAATAATCAGCATAGTGACAGAATTCTAGGAAGAGTAGCCCACACCTTGCTCAGTGGAGTCTCACAACAGCTCTGACACGCGGGCGTTTTGAGCAGTACATTTTATAAAGGAGGAAACTGTGACTTGGCGAGATTAAATTGTTCACACAGCCCCCAGAGGAGAGAGCGGGAACTCACACTCAGAGTGGCCCGAGTCCTTCCTTGGACACTGGGCTCTCGAGTTTCTTTGAGACGTGGTGGCTGTCTTAACATTTTGTTATGTGCAAGTAGCCTGATATCACCAGAATTTGGCCCTAGTCCGGTGAATTCTTTTTAGAGTGCTTTGACAGCTGACATGCTGTGGAGATAGAGTGGGTTTAAGATACAGACCTGCTCAGTGAAGTATTGTCACAAATCTTCAGTTTGTGAAAAATCACAATTATCTCTTGTTGTTGCTGGTGTTGTGGACCGTCGAGTCGGAACCAACCCATAGCTGACCCGCTAGAGGGTTTTCAGAGGCTGTAAATCATGCGGGAGGAGATAGCCCATCTTTCTCCCATGGTGCAGCTGGTAGATTCGAACTTCGTACCTTCAGAGCACAGCTCCTGAGCACTAGGCCACCAGAGAGGTTCAGGAAAGCAAAGTACATTAAAATGAAGCATGCCTGTGTACATATATGTAGTGCTTCATAATAAAGCGTATAGTGATGAGTTTCCTGTTGCTGCTTCATGTACCTCAGGATGATTATGTTCATTCCAGACAATTGAAGGGGTGCACTTCTTATGATCTGATAATATACCTAAAGAGGGGAAAAATACTTGCAGTTAAGTCCAAAGAAGCTCTTTAAAAGATGCTCACAGATTGCTGTTACTCTAAATATGTGTCTTTGTATGCTCTTGAGAACAGACGGCCATGTCTTACCGAGCGTGTTGGTCTAATGTATACGGTGATTTATTTGACTGTGCATCCACTGTTGAGAATCAGGTGAATAGAACCAGCGTGTTGACCTGTTGGAAACCCTGAAACAATAAAGCTACTGAAGGGGAGAGTGAAAGCTAATGAAACCTGGAAGCCATTTCATGAGGCCACTACCTTTATCAATTTACACATGACATAAAAGAATAGCACATTTTGAAATTGTAGTTTTACTTGTAGTTTAATTGTTAAAAAATCATTATTTATTGGCTGCAAATGAGAACTTATTTTTTCATTATAAACTACAGTACACTAGAAAGTAGTGGAGGGAGAATCCTCCAGCCAGTCTGAGGGAGAAAGATGAGCCGTCTTCTCTCGTGCCGTTTCCAGTCCTGGAAACTCAATGGAGGATCAGTTATGAACTGTCTCAACTGCAGAGTGTGTGTGTGTGTGTGTGAGAGAGAGAGAGAGGAAGGGAGGGAGGGGGAGGGAGAGGGAGGGAGAGAAGGAGGAGAAGGGATGGAGGGAGGGGAAGGGAGAGAAAGACTGACGGGGTTGGGGGGAGAGAGTGATGGAGACAGAGAAAATGTGAGAGAGAGACAGAATGAATATGAATGATAAAGTATTGGACAATATGGGACCATCCTTTTTTTTTTTTTTAATTGAAATGCTATGACATTTAAATAATGCCTTTAAATTCTGAATTTAATCAGGTTAGCCAATTATGTATATTTAAATACTAACTTGATAAGTAAGTTGATCTTTTGCTTCTTTTTCTTAGATGTAGACATTTAGCTAATTAGTGAAGAGGCAGTATGGTTTTTCTTCATTGTACATGGCAGATGTTCTCAGCATAAGATTTCTTGATAAAGGGATTTGTTAGAAATGTTTATTGGCTTTTAAAAATGCTGAAGGCCAATTACACTGTCTTCACTCCTCTTACTAAATGGCCTTGCTTTCTAAGGCATTGCCAAGTGTTTACGTAACAAAGTTTTTAAATGTTTGCTATTCTACCACAAAATCTGGTAAGAAAAAAGAATTTGATATAATGTACCATGGAGTCTGAACTGACCCATAGCTGACCCTCTGGTGGGTTTTCAGAGGCAGTTAATCACACAGGAGGAGACTGCCCATCCTTCTCCCACAGAGCAGCTGGTAGATTTGAACTGGCTGCCTTCAGGACTGCAGCTCAGGTTCTTACCACTAGGTCACCAGAGCTCCCTACATCTGCTTAGCTGCATTCTTTTAAACTATTTTTGGTATGTTGTTGTTGTTGATGATGATTGCCCTTGAGTCGAGCA